CCTTTCCCGTCAATCGTTTGCACCTCTAATCAGAAATAGGCTAAATCGCACCATCCTTCAAAACACTAATGGACCGCCCCAGCTGCTTGCGATGACAGTCAACTCGCGTATCCGAACATTTCTGGTGCTCATCTGTGAAGACAACACCACACTGTGCCTTCAAATTGAAAATTAGCGCCTTCAAATTGAAAATTAGCTTCATGTCATTACATCGAGGCATTAAGGCAAAGCTGCCTTTTGCATGCTGCTATGGTTGCAAATAGATCGACTCACGAAAGTGCTGGTTTAGCCTGCAGACATAGCAGTAGTGGGGGCTTGAATTCAAGGGGAGATGCTAAACCACTGGCAACGCTTGTGGGACACAGAAATAAATAATAAGCTTCACTTGATTAAGCCGCGGTTGGGTTACTGGCCCTCCGCTACAAGAACATGGCGAACTGATGTCCTATTCTGTCGCCTCAGAATAGGACACACTTATGGCACCCATAGCTTTCTGCTGACTGGCGATGAACCTCCTACTTGTGGTAGATGTGGTGAGAGGCTAACCGTCCTCCACGTCCTCTTGGAGTGTCCGGAAGCTGAAAGTGAGAGAAAGAAATATTTTGCTTTAGCATAGCGCTATAATCTTCCTTTACATCTGATCATGTTTCTCGGTGAAGAACCGCTTTTTGATGCAAAATCAGTTTTAAGTTTTTTAAAGGATGTAGTATTGAATGTTTTTAGCCCAACATTGAATGTTTTTAGCCCAACAGGTTCATAGCGCATCCTCTGTTCAGAGGATGCCGCTGTGATAGCAGCTTTCAATAAGCCCAGGCCTCCATGCTCTTGTTTTAAGCGCTCTGTTGAGGCACTGGTCCTCCATGCCACGTTTTTATTTCACATACATATCACTTTTAAACCATTTTATGTCTCCATAGCACACATCATTTGTGATTGCCATAATTTTACTATGCATATATTTTTACGCACCTATAGCGACTGTTTTTTAGGCCCATTTACAGCCACGTCACATCTGTTTTATCTACAGTGCACATTGCACAGTTCATTATCATCGCTCTGGCGCTCTTTGGCCACATCTGGCCCTTGCGCCAATAAACTACACTAATCATCAATCATCAAGGGGAGATGCTATTCTACAAAAAAAAGTGTTTTGATCTGTAGCCTAGGGAAATAGAATTTTACCTGTACACATGGTCTTGTGGCTAAGGTACTCTGCTGCTGACCTGCAGGTCAGCAGCCCAGCTGCGGCAACTGCATTTTCGATGTAAGTGAAAATGTTGTAGGCCCGTGTGCTCAGATTTGGGTGCACGTTAAAGAACCCCAGGTGATCGAAATTTCTGGAACCATCCACTACGGCTACTATCGTATTGAAATGTTGGTTTTGGGACATTAAACCTTACATATCAATCAAACGATTAATGCCGCTGCAGCTCGCAGTGCTTGTGTGGCATCTCATAAGGTCGGCATTTGCAGCAGTGTTGCAGTAACACTTCCCCATTGGTTGGCTGCAGAGTACCATGAGCAGAGACTCTATCTCAAGAGACCAAGTCCATTACAGAGCCAGCACAACCACCAACATAGTGAACACGAGAGATGCAAGATGCTGCCCAACAGATCAGTATGCAACTGAAAAAAAAAATTATTTAATATGATTTCTATTGTGTGGGACCACCTAAAGGATAATACTCTTGCCCATGAATGCAAAGCACATGTGAAGGTTGGGGAATAGGCAAGAGTAGAAAAGGGCATGAGGAGAGGGTGGTAAATGGCTGAATCGGGTGCATCTGGCTGGCATTCAAAAATGAGGAGATGCTGATCAGGCTGTTTTTCAAGTCTTTCCTTCATTGGCATTTAGCGTCAGGCTCTCTTGTGCACACATCGTGATTGGCTCGTGAACAACATGTCCGTTCTTGCTTCAGCTCTTGCGGACATTCTTTTCGGGCGACTCATTGGGAGAGAAAGAAATGTTTGCCATTCTAAAAGCACAAATTCGTGAATACTGACATTCTCATTTATACATTTTTGGCCTCACCATCAACCCATCTTAGCATGTTTCTTGAAGGTCCACCTCTTTTCTGAGCCTATACATCCTCTGCCCTCACCATCACCTCTCTCGACAATATGTCTCACTTCTGCCTCACTGCGAGGCTACATGATCAGCACTATGTCAATGGATGGGGAAGCTTCGACCAAGAACAGCTTCATAGTCCTCGTCCACAGACAATGTGCTGTCGTCCTTTGACCCGCTGTTGTGCTCAAATGGCTGTGATGTTCCGAGGCTAAACACCAAAACATGGGTTCGATGTCAGCGATGGAAGTCACTTGAAGGGACAAAACTGAAAAAAACACATGTGTAGTTTATGTGCTTGTTTGAAAACCCCAAGGGGCGGAAGTTAATATGGGACGGGATTGTCCAGTGTTCACTTCACTGAAGCGCATTCAGTTATATAAAAAAAACTTTGTCGTGATGTCATGAAGTACTGAACCCGCCATCACATTCCCAGCATAACGAAAAAAAAAGTGGAGTAAATGTACAGTAACAGGACTCTTAAACAAACTAGACAAGTCCGAACTTGCATATGAGCATTTTGAGATGTTTGAAGAACGTCGGGAAATTCATGCCGACCTTCCAGGTGCATCAGGCGGGCGGTCGCGTTAAACCTTATTCAAGGGCTAATGTGATTAGAGTTCATGCATGGCCTCCGAGATGTGCATCCAGAAGCAGATCTCTAGGGGCAGCATTTGTTGCAGCAAAACGCATTTGTTCTTTTTCATTTGTGTTGAGAGTTGTGAAGGCTGCATGGTGTCTAAATGACTTTGTGGAAGAAAGATTAAAAACGGGTGGCGCGCTGCTCGCCGAACTCCAGTGTTGAGAGTCTGACATCTACTGGACGCGTCCCCGCTGACGTGGGTTGCCGATACATCTGGGTTACATTGGACCCGGACCCCTGTGGTAGCGTGAAGTATCTCGGGGTGGAGGAAATGATGCCGGCAAGTTGGGGAAAGCGAAAACATACAGATTTACTGGCAGTCTGTACAACTATTTACAACTGTCTCCCCTCTGAAATGCCTGTAGGCCTTGAGGGTACAAATAAATAAATAAATAAAAAACATAGAAGTTTAGAGTTCCGCAAACCACATGCGTGGTGGATGAACCGTCAAACCAAGGTTCAGAGCGACTTGTTGCACTTTGCAACGTCGTTTTAAGCCCTGTCAGGCTCCTCCTTCTAGATTGAAATACCAATCTTGCACATGACACTACCGACCATGGCATCGGCAAATAACACACAGTTGTCGATGAGTCGTTTCACTCGCTGTTGCAATGTTCCTCTGGTCAGTTTCACTCAAGAGAGGAGGAGTAGGGTCTATCACGGGGCAAGTTCGCGGGCGAGTAGCCTGCTGTCGTCTCTACCTGGAACGCAGCAACGGATTAAGCGACTTATCGCTTTTGTATCGATGTACGAGGTAGGATGACCGCACAGCCTTTCCAAATTGGGGATGAATTGTCTGTATGGACGTTGGCTCGCAGTCCGTAGAAGTTGCCACGCTCTTATCCCTTTGTTGCTTTTCGTCCCTGGACGCTCATTCCGTGAGAAAGGCACTAGGGTTTCAGGTCGTGGGAACGCACCCCAGCTGTGCTCCTCAGGGACAGCGTGTTGCCAAGGGTTGAGTCGCAACACCAGGCAATCAGTGGAGGCTGAAATGGACTTGTCCACTAAGTGGACACCGCAAGAATAGCTCCCATGCTCGGTTATACCCCACGATAGCTTTACTCGCATCTTTGTTTGGGGTGTAAAACACCAGATTTCTGATCTTCTAGGTCGGACTTTGGTTCATATTTAAAAATGGAGGACCTGTGCCAGCAACCAGTGTTATGCAATCATGTTGCCACCCTCAAGGAAGAAGTGTTTTATTTTATTCAAATTCTCATTCGCGCGGATTGAAGAGAGCATCAACTGAAAGACAGAACAGATAGCAATGCAACAGAGAACAGAAGTCTCTGAGAAAGCTCACCAATTGAACGGATGCCCCAATCTCAAAAAAGGAGGCTTGCTGTACCGAAATAGGTAAAGATGAAAGGAAAGTCATCATCGAAAAATAGCATAAGCTGCAAGAGCTGTAGCCATAAACCAAAACTTAAGTGTTTAAACGGAGCACTGCTGCCATAGTGGTGCACAAGGTACAAGTGGCGATCTCGTCTCGAGACACCCACACTCTGCACTCATAAGTTTGGTTTTGTCTTGTGGGCGGTTTTCATTTATTACTTCCAAAATTTGGTCTCATGATAAACACTTCGTTCTAGCTCGTTGCTTGTCCTCAGAGGTGCAATTTAACCGGTTTTATATGAAAAATTACTGTAATTTTTTTTCTGAGGAGGTCATTCTGAAGATTTTCAATATTCAGTAAAACAATATAGAACCCAGGGTTTTGCATTTGGTGACAGTGTTCAATCCTCCATGGGCTAACTCGTACATCGGTGAAAATGTAGAGAGTTTGGGCTTAAAGGCCTGAGAAACATAAAAACTGTGTTGAACTTGTCAAGAATACTTTGCATTAAAGCTTTTAACTGGACAGAAACAGTATAAATATTCTTGGTTATATTCTGCTGGTATCTGTGATGCAGTGTTTTGCCACAACATGCTGTTGAAGTGAAGAAGAGTAATTTTTTTTAGCATTGTTTGTCTGAGCTGGGGTTCTCATGTTAACTTCTGCAGAAACTATGGATTCTGTAAAGGGCAGTTTTAATTTTCACTCTGGTTTTTATTCCACCACCAAGTAGGCCTTGCATGAAAATAAAATAGTCCTTGTGTATCACTGTGAAGCGGGAAGCTAAGAGTTCCACGACCTTGGAGAAACTGTTGGTGTTCCTTAAGGCCACGAGACAGTTTGAGAACCCTGATATGAGTGAATGTCACAAGTGACACAAAAGCCAAATATTTGTATGTTCCTCTTTCTAAATTGCTTCATACGAGTGTTATTTCTTGTTTCTGTCTCTCAAGGAAAGTAATCAGCTGCATGCGGTCTGCCTGGATAGCTATCCACCTATCCGTTATATGACCTCTGCATCATGGGATGTTGTCAACCTTGTGCATCGTTACAACCAATTCTGTGGCACTAACAAGGTATGCCATCTTTTTTTTTTGCATAATTGAGCATTTATTTGTTTTAATGCTGTTGGTCATAGCCTCAGGCCTTGGACAGGTTTGTGGAATACATGCAGATGAGTACTATGAAATTATATAAAAAGACAGGAATTATTTAAGCAACAAACTTTGTTAGCTATTATTACACTTTGTGCAGTTTAAATCAAATCACGCATGTCTCTAACTGTTCAATTGCTTTTTCAGTTATAATTTCGTAAAATAATTTTATTTTTGGAATATATTTAACTCTCTCCTGAATCTTCAGTAATGGAAGCCAAATGGTAGATGGTAATGCCAGCATAGCCAATTGCAGTGTTGCATGATTGAGCTGCTGAGCAACATTTTTGTTCTGAAAGTGATTTAGATTGTAGTGTACCAACTTAGTTCTAATACATACTAGTTACCTATGTATGTGAAGGATCAGAAGCTGCGTTTATGTTGCTCTTTGTGTTTTGCTGTTTCTTAATAGCATTACCTTCTTGGCACTTGGAAGCCATTCTTATTCAATAAATCTGTCCTGCTATGTATAGTAGTGTTTTGTCCATGTTCAAATATTGCATCCTTAAAATTACGCAGACCTTGCTTCTTAAATTCATTCATTTCGAAGTACTGAAAGAAAGTTGTTTTTTGTCTTCCACCTGTAGCAATGTCAGGTACAGATGTCTTGCTTAGCACAGAGCTTTAGATGCATACACTAAGAAATGGTTGTGGAGATATTTGAACCTTTAAATACTTTTCAAATAGTGTGTGCTATTTAATTTGATTAGCACTGAAATTTTATTATTCGAAGGATCAGAAGCTGCGTTTATGTTGCTCTTTGTGTTTTGCTGTTTCTTAATAGCATTACCTTCTTGGCACTCGGAAGCCATTCTTATTCAACAAATCTGTCCTGCTATGTATAGTAGCGTTTTGTCCATGTTCAAATATTGCATCCTTAAAATTACGCAGACCTTGCTTCTTAAATTCATTCATTTCGAAGTACTGAAAGAAAGTTGTTTTTTGTCTTCCACCTGTAGCAATGTCAGGTACAGATGTCTTGCTTAGCACAGAGCTTTAGATGCATACACTAAGAAATCGTTGTGGAGATATTTGAACCTTTAAATACTTTTCAAATAGTGTGTGCTATTTAATTTAATTAGCACTGAAATTTTATTATTCGAAGTAGCGCAGTATTCAAATTTCCCAAAGACAAATACAATCCACCTCCGCTTAGCAGTAGCCCCCTTCAGATTTTTTATGTGCTTATTTATTTTATTTATTTATTTATTTATAAAATGCTGCAAACACATAGTCCAAGCAGGGAGGGCAATAAAAATAGTACAACAGTGAACATGTTGGGAAAAAATTAAAAGAACAAACAAAAACAATGATACAGAAACGGTCGGTATGTTCGGTGAAATTTCGTATAAAACAAATCAATAATAATGAGCATTATTATATCAATTTGAATATACAGTTCTATTCTGTTATTGTACAAGGGAAACAGGAATTTTTATATGTGTTTGTTCTCGCAAAGTAAGGTGTTAATGCATCTTGCCTACGGTGGAGCGTGGTTTGGGTTAATAGGGGTGATGGATATCGTCCATCGTATTGTCACGTGCTTGTCAAAAAGAAGGACAATGGCAGTTGTGCATGTGCCATGAAGTACAATGAAATGGATGAACAAAAGAACTCTCTTGCGTGTTCTATTAAAAGGACCGACCTGCTTCTGGTGTCTCAATCTCTGCGGCAAGACCTCTGTTTTGACGTCGTGACACTGGTGGAGGTGCTGGAGCCTACAACCTGATGCAGGACAGTCTTGCTCGGACCAGTTCACCTAGTCCAAAGACTCAGCCCCTCGTCACGACTCCAGTGTACCGATTCAGTCGGCACCTACTAGGCCTAAGTCTGGAGTCCGCACCTGTTCCGCCTCTTTCCAGCATGGCAGCTCCTATGACATCCACGATTATCCCGTCATCGCAGACCACTCTTCTCTCGCAGGTGACTCTTGAACATCCTCGCGTTCCCGAAGTTTTCCGTGGGGAAGAGTACGAAGATGTTGAGGACTGGCTTGAACAGTTCGAACGGGTCGCTGTATCCAACCACTGGAGCGAAGAGCACAAACTTGGCCATGCATATTTCGCACTGGAAGATAGCGCTCGCACGTTGTATGAGAACCGCGAGGCTACATTCCAATCTTGGGAAGATTTTTGTCGAAAGCTCCTCGCTACATTTTTGAACTCAGACCTATAAGATCGCGCACAGCAACTGATTGAGGCCCGCGTGCACAAAAACCCAATGAAACAGCCGCCATGTATGCAGAGGGTATGATCCGCCTGTTTTGACGAGCTGACTCTGACATGCCCAAGGCGAAGAAGGGGCGTCACCTAATGCAGGGTGTTAAGGAAGAAGTGTTTGCGGGCCTCGTACGAAATCCATCTACAACAGTAGATGAATTCATAAGAGAGGCGACTGTCATCGAGCGTGCACTGCAACAACGATACCGACACTTTGACCGCCTGCCGAACCACACGGCAGTAAGTGCTGCAGCTCAGAACACTGCCGTATGCGAAAGTTCCCTGCGACAAATGATTAGGGAAATACTTACTGCGTGAGGAACTTCGGGCCCTCTGCGTTCGCCCTACCCAACCTCCAGTCGCATCTGTTGCCGAAATCGTCCCGCCAGGAGTTGAGGCAAGCCATTACACCACCCGCGCCAAGTCCTGAGCCACATCCAGCGAGCTACGCTGATGTAGTTCGTCGCCTTCCACCGACATTTGTGGCGACGTCCTTCCAGCCACGACCCACTGCCGTACCTTGGTGGCAGCGGGATTCTACGAGACGACCACCAGTTCGCTGAAATGACTTATAGCGCATGGCCGACCGTTGACCTATTTGCTTCCGCTGCGGAGAACCCGGTCACATTGCCCGCTATTGCCGTCATGGTGATTCCGGGTACGGGAACTTTTCTCGTCCTGCTTCTTTCCGCTCCGAAGACTGTCGTGCCCACGATGCCGATCAACTGTCACCTGGCAAAGCAACTCCACCGCGTCGCTGGCTATCTCCATCACCTGCGCGTCACCGTGACTTCCCTCAGAGCTACGCGGACGTCACCAGAGGCCGTTCGCCTAGCCCGCGCCAGGGAAACTCACTGCTGCGACCTCGGGGGCAAGGTTGTCAATCGTCGAGACACTGAAAAGTTCCTCCTATCATCGCAAGAAAGTATGACGACAACGAATACGACAACGAATACTAATGCCGATGAAGTTGTACGTGCCGATCTTAGCGTTCTCATTGACGGACATCACGTTACAGCACTGGTCGACACTGGCACCGACTTCTCAATCATGCGACAAGAACTCACCGACCGCTTTAGAAAGGGCAAGACACCATGGACAGGGCCGCACATAAGGAGTGCTGGTGGTCAGCTGATGACTCCCACGGGTTAATGCACCACTCGACTTCACATAGGGGATTCTAGCTTCGTGGCCACTTTCAACCTATTGCCAGACTGCTATAAAGAGTTAATTTTGCGCTTGGATTTTCTTCAAGATCATGGTGCTGTTATCAACATCCCTCAACGTATGGTGACGTTTTGCGCACATCGGTATGCCGACAACAGCTGCGACAAACCACGCGGCCGTTTGCGAATAGCCGACAATGTGACACTCCCACCAAGATCCTGCTGCCTTGTGTCGGTGTCCAGTGGCTGTCCTTGCTGTAAAGATGTGATAGCGGAGCACATAGTCGCTCTTTTGTTCACGCAAGGCATTTCCATCGCAAGAGGCGTCCTGGCGCTTACTGGTGGACAGGCAGAAGTGCTCCTCACAAACTTCATCAACGAGCACCTTCAAATCCAGAAGGGTGCCGCAATTGCCTACTACAACGATGTAGACCAAGCCGGGGATTGTTTTGCTTTGCAACCAGTTGGCGCGACTGTCTCCGCCTTGACAACTTTGTCGGTGGACATCTGCTCCACGCTACCCCTCTCTCATAGGAAGCGCCTGCTTGAACTTATACACCAATTCGAAGACTGCTTTTCGCGTACGTCAAAGGTCCAGCAAACACCATTCACCAAGCACCGCATCGTTACTGAACACAACACGCGACCGATTCGGCAGAACCCCTACCGTGTGGCTCCGAAAGAGCGTGAGGAGATTCAGAAGCAAGTATACAAGATGCTCGCGGATGACGTCATACAACCTTCGAAAAGTCCTTGGCCGTCCCCCGTGGTTTTGGTCAAGAAAAAAGACGGCAGCTTGCGTTTCTGTATTGATTATCGCAAGTTGAACCAAGTCACGAAGAAAGACATCTATCCACTGCCCCGCATAGACGATTCAGTCGATCCGCTGCATCATGCGCGCTATTTCTCTTCAATGGATCTCCGAAGCAGCTACTGGCAGATAGAAGTCGACGAGAGAGATCAGAAAAAACGGCCTTTGTGACGCCCGATGGCCTATACGAATTTAAGGTGCTTCCTTTTGGGTTGTGCTCGGCGCCAGCCACTTTTCAGCGTCTCATGAACATCGTACTATCAGGCCTGAAGTGGCAAACATGCTTGGTCTATCTGGAAGATGTTATTGTATTCTCAGCATCATTCGAGGAACATCTTGGCCGTCTATTCACCATACTCCAAGCCATACGCTCGGCCGGCCTCACTTTCAAACCAGAAAAATGTCATTTTAGTTTCTACAAACTCAACTTCCTAGGCCACGTCGTCAGTCACGAGGGTGTTCGACCTGACCCGGCCAAAATAGACGCCGTAGCGCGATTTCCTGCACCACGCGACAAAAAGGCCATGAGGCGCTTTTTATGGTTGTGCGCCTATTACCGGCGATTTATCGAGGTCTTTTCGTCTATTGTGGCGCCATTGTCACGACTCGCATGTCCCCTTCTATTTGGGTGAACAAGAACAAATGGCATTCAATGAATTACGACAACGGCTGCAAACACCTCCAGTCCTTGCGAACTTCGACCAGGAAGCCCCTACAGCACTTCACACTGATGCCAGCAATGTAGGTCTGGGTGCCGTTCTGGTGCAGTGGCAAGATGGCTGTGAAAGAATAATAGCCTACGCCAGCAGAACTTTCTCTCGCACAGAGGAGAACTACTCGACTACCGAGAAGGAGTGTCTCACCGTGGTGTGGGCGGTCATCAAATTTCGTCCATATTTGTACGACCGCTCCTTCAAGGTTGTTAGCGATCATCACTCTTTGTGCTGGCTCACCAACCTTAAAGATCCATCTGGCCGTTTGGCGCGCTGGAGCCTAAGGCTTCAAGAGTTCGACATGACCATCGTCTATCTGGGAAGCGGCACACCGACGTCGACTGTCTCTCAAGGTCGCCAGTGGAGACTGTCACTCTTGATGACGAAAACATCAACGCGGCATTCTTGGGAGCTGTCAACACAGCCACTATTGCACGGGAGCTGCGCAGTGACCCCGAGCTGTTACCACTCATTGAATATTTAGAAGGATGACGTAAAGACATGCTGTGGTTATTTGCCAGAGGACTGCCATCTTTTTGCTTGCAAAACGATGTTCTCTATAAGAAAAACTTCTCACCAACCGGCAAGCCGCACTTGCTCGTCATGCCTGCCTCTCTTCGAAAAGAAATTATGGAAGCGTGCCATGATGAAGCAACTTCTGGTCATCTAGGCTACACCCGAACATTGTGCCGACTACGATGCAAGTACTACTGGCCAAAGTTACCTGCTACTGTTAACCATCATGTGCGAACTTGCACAGACTGCCACAGATGCAAAGCACCTCCCAGCAAGCCAGCCGGTCTTTTACATCCAGTCGAAGCACCAGCGAAGCCGTTCACCCAGATCGAAATGGATTTCCTGGGTCCCTTTTCAACTTCCACAACAGGGAACAGATGGATTATGTGGCAACCGATTACCTGTATCGTTATGCGGAGACCTTTATAAAGCTGTGCAGTGCGGCACAGTAGCAGAAGCCACTCAGTTCGTCATCGAAAACATCGTCCTTAGGCATGGCGCTCCGACAGCAGTGATCACAGACAGAGGACCTGCCTTCACCGCAGAGCTTTTGGAGTCGGTTCTCAGACTCAGCGGTACAGCTCACTGGAGAACAACTGCATACCATCCGCAGACAAACGGACTGACGGAGCACCTCAATAGGACCCTCACAGACATTATCAGCATGTACTTTGACACGGAACATAAAAACTGGGATCAGATATTGTCGTACGTGACCTTTGCTTATAGCACCGCTCGACAAGAAACTACTGGAATGACACCGTTCGGTCTGATCTATGGTCGCGAAGTCACGACAACATTGGACGCCATGTTGCCGCATGAGTGTGACGACATCTATGTAGACGCCGAAGAATTCACTCAGTGCGCCAAAGAAGCCAGATAGCTCGCGCGCGTGCGTATCTGTCATCAGCAGCATCACAATGCACAACTCTACAACACCCTACACAAGTTTATTAGCTACACACCAGGCGACAAAGTCTGGGTCTGGATTCCGGTACGTCGACGTGCACTGTCTCAAAAACTGCTAAGACGGTACTTTGGTCCATACAGCGTCACGCGACGCTTGAACACCGTGAACTACGAAGTTGCTCCTGACACTGACTATAGTTCTAAGCGCCAAAAGCATTTACCCGAAGTCGTGCACGTCGTGCGCATGAAACCATGTTTATCGGGTTAATTAGCTCCCGGTTACTGTGTTGACGTGACCACTTCATACGCCTGGTAGAGCGCCCCGCCGCGGTGGTCTACTGGCTAAGGTACTCGGCTGCTGACCCCACAGGTCGCGGGTTCGATTCCCGGCTGCGGCGGTTGCATTTCCGATGGAGGCGGAAATGTTGTAGGCCCGTGTACTCAGATTTGGGTGCACGTTAAAGAGCCCCAGGTGGTCAAAATTTCCGGAGCCCTCCACTACGGTGTCTCTCATAATCAAATGGTGGTTTTGGGACATTAAACCCCACAAATCAATCAACACCTGGTAGAGCGCCTAAGTTGTGCATCGGGACGATGCCTCTTTCGGAGGGAGGAAAATTTCACGTGCTTGTCAAAAAGAAAGACAATGGCAGTGGTGCATGTGCCACGAAGTACAATGAAATGAATGAAAAAGAAGAACTCTCTTGCGCGTTCTATTAAAGGGACCGACCTGCTTCTGGTGTTTCAATCTCTGCGGCAAGACCTCTGTTTTGACGTCGTGACAATATGTATTGTGGTAAGGCTGCCTCTCAAACTCTGGTACAGTCGCATATGTAGTGACTCAAGAAAACGGTAGTTCCAATGTGGAGGTGACAGTTACAGTAGAGCAGAGGGTTTTGTACCTGAAATAGGGCAGAATACCATTTTGGCAGAAATTCGAAAAAATTGGATGCCAAGGATTTTTAGCACCTGAAATTTTACATTCTTATATGTTGACCTCCTTGAGGCATATTAGGGACTCGGAGTTCAAAGGGAGCACAGCCCTTTTGGCCTAATAAGCCTCCATGGAAATTGAAGGGGGGGGGGGGGTGTTGAGGACATATTGTCTTTTTTTTTTACATGTCAAGTCTTGTGACATCATATTGGTTGCACCAAATTATGTAAATAAATACCATTTAGCCTCTGCATTGCCTAATCACTGATAAAACAACTAGGGAACACCATTCCTCCAACCTTCAACCAGCCTAGGCAAAAGAAACATTTTCACGTACCTGTGTCATAAGAACGTGCTTAGGGATCCTTAACAACCTTGTTTCTGTTTATTACTTCGAATCGTTAGAAAAATATTAAACAAATATTTGGCAGCTATTTGAGAAATACTCGATTCTATTTGCACCTAAAATTTTACTATTGGCACAGCTCTAAAAACAAGGTTTCAAGAAAGGCTCGTAAAAGGGTGATGAACCACCTCTAGGGTTGAGTGCGACAGCACGTTATATGAACAGCAAACACTGTTGTGAACACTTGAGCCGAATTTTCTTCTGGTAGCTTCTTATGTCATTCCTAAATATCAGTTTATTTTGGGCCTGTTAGGCGATGTGGTAAATTATGAAACAGTTTGCAGCATTTGAACTTTCTCAGACTGCTAATATTGTTGCCAATTTTTATTTTTTCTGTGCAGCTTGCATACTCTTTTGATGCTGGTCCAAATGCCTGCCTTTTTCTGTTAGAAGAATCGCTCCCAGAGGTGCTTGCCCTTGTTGAATATGCGTTTCCAACGAGTAGAAAAGCGGATTTTTTCCAAGGCAGACCAGCAGTTATTGGTAAGATGTCACAGGTAAGTTGTCATATTGTTCATTTTATTCAGCATTACACTTCATTCAGTCCTATGCATACTCCTCAATCTTGCTCATACTCCCTGAACCTTAGTGGAAGATGTAGTGACTGCCATGTATGTTTTTAGGCTTAGGCATAATATAAAACAGAAGAGATCCAACGGGTGAGGAGGCGCCAGGTGTCTGTTAGTGGGGAACTGCAGCGAATAAATGTAGGGGGTGCGTTTATTCTGTGGGGGGGGAATCCAAATTTTGATGACTGAAGTTGGGGGTGTGTGTTTATTATGCGAGCACATTCATTACGTGAGTAAATATGATATTTGGTACCTCTCCTGTAACTATTAACACCTAATGTACAGTAATCGTCATCGTCATCATCAGTCTGACTACGTCCACTGCTGGACAAAGGCCTCTCCCATGTTCCGCCAGTTAACCCGGTCCTGTGCTTGCTGCTCGCAATTTATACCCGCAAACTTCTTAATCTCATCTGCCCACCTAACCTTCTGTCTATGTGCTACATGCCCGGCCCATGTCCATTTTCTATTCTTGATTTCAACTATGATATCCTTAACCCCCGTTTGTTTCCTAATCCACTCTGCTCTCTTCTTGTCTCTTAAGGTTACACCTACCATTTTTATTTCCATTGCTTGCTGCATCGTCCTCAATTTAAGCTGAACCTTCTTTGTAAGTCTCCAGGTTTTTGCTCTGTAGCTAATTCCCGGCAAGATACAGCTGTTATATACCTTCCTCTTGAGGGATAGTGGCAATCTACCTTTCATAATTTGAGAGTGCTTGCCAAATGTGCTCCACCCCATTCTTATTTTTCTAGTTACTTCAATCTCGTGGTTCGGCTCCATGGTTATTACCTGCCCCAAGTAGACATAGTCTTTTAAAAGCATAGTAATAGTACTCCCAATTGTGTAATAACGTGCTGAGGCAGCTGCTGTGTCGGCCTAATAAACGCTGAAACACGCCAAACTTGAAACAAGCACTGCTCCCGTGCCATTCAATTCATAGAGTTTGCTAAATATACACTAGAGGGAGCTCTGGTGCTAGTGTTTATGGAAGCTGCAATGCACGGCACTTCGAGCATGGGAATGATAGGTAGTACACAGATTTGTCTAATCTTCATACTTCTGGCTTTGTGTGTGTCCGTGTGGCCTGCAGCTGTTCTGTCACTAAATAAAAATGAGCAAATGTTGAGCAGTTGTTCTTCATCACCTTATTCTTTTAAGGCTTACCATTTTAAATTGGGTCATGAAGTTTAAGAGGTTCGTTATTTCTTTCGAAACAAAACCAGAACACTGCAATTAACGAAGCCACAAGTGCGATTCGCCGCCCGCAAGTATGAAGACTGGGCAAATCCGTGTACTACGGATCATTCCCATGGTCGCTGAGCGATCGCAGCCCCAGAGTCCCCTCTAGTTAATTTTAGGAAACTATGATTCAACCGACTGGTGTCATCTTTGTTTTGCTTTGTTTGTGAATTCCTGCACGTTGTTTTACTGCCTTCGGCAGCAGTGGTGGTGGCACAGCCAAAGCATGATTCACTTAATATTGAAGGGCTCGCGGGAGCTTTTGAGGGCCCCCTATCTCATACCTGCCAAGTGTCCCGGATTGTTTGGGAGACTTCCGGATTTTGACTGTTTTTTCCGGGTGTACGGTTGTCATGAAAATCTTCCAGGAGTTGAAATTTCTGTGCGTGATCTGGCCGCGTTGACAAAAAAGCAGCTCAATCCGCTCCAGTCACATTACCATGCTTGCCCTGTCTTCATTCTCTTCTCAATCATGTTTATTGTGCAGCACCTTGTTTAGTGATGTATGACCGATTCGCTCAGTAACATGCATTATTGAAGTAAATTAAAGAATATCTTATGCCAGATAGTGAAGCAGTAGCTATGATTGATGGGTGACTGTTGTTAGCTGTTAATGAGCGGGTGTATTCCAAAGAATGCTTCAGTCCTCTGTGCCATAAAATTACCCAATAACAGTTAAGAACAGAGGTGTTCTGTTGTATGCTTCTGAAAAACTGTTGTATGTTCTGTTGTATGTTCTGAGATTTGTGTATAAATGGCACCCACTAAATGAGGAAATTAATAATCAGTCATGAATGCTGGTCAACTGCTGCAAAACAGTGAACTTTCAATTGTTCAGTGCCTGAGCATTACGAGAAATTGCATTAGATCATGCTGACAAAGTTCTTCCACCCTCTATTGACTAAATTCACCCTGAGAATAACCGACAAAATCAAAATTAGCAAATATTTTTTGCAGAAGCGTTAGGTTGAAGTAGTGGTAATAAATGAGCTTGTAGTGCACTTGTTGAAGTCAATATTGTCTTTTCAGGCTGATATGAGATACATATCATAAAATCTCAAGCAAGCCCCCCCTCTCCTTCCCTCTTCACTATGGTGAAAGATAATCTAAGATTTGGAGGAGGGGCCCTTTCTCAGTCTGAATAAAAATTTAATGCGACGGTTAAAACACTGCTAAGGAAAAAAAAACGCACAAACCTGCACTTCTATTGAAGAGCTCTATTGAGTCTGCATGCATTCATTGTTTCAAAAACTGAAGGAAATAGTGAACATGGCAGAAGGGCAGGGTGTAAGGTTCTTGGTCTGTCATTGGGCATATTTCAAACCACTGGAAAAAATTAGGGGGCTTTCGCTCGATATTTTAGGGTTAATATTGAGCAGAACTGATGATGATTTCCCGCAGAGGCCTGTCATTTCCAGAGCCTTGCCGCAGCCATAACGGCACTACCCGCTATAAAGTTGACTAAGTTCTGTTGGCAGTATCCTTGCTGTAGAGCCCATTAAATTTCTTTGGCTTCTTTAGTGAACTCAGATAGGGGGATATGTAGATTTCTCACAAGTCCAGCAAACAGTTGCTCCTTCTCGCCTCGCATGAAATACCGTAACTTCCTGTCTTTCGGCATCTTGGGGTCTGCCCTGCGGAAAAAATGGGTCAAGTTCTTGGCAAACGTAGCAACGCTCTCATTTGGTTTTTGGATTCAAGCTTCTAAGAGACGCTGTGCATTCTCCTTTCTGTCGAGGGTAGTGAAGGTGTCAAGCAGCTGGTTGTGGAAGTCGTCCCACGTAGCCAAGCTTTTGTACCACATCTGGGTAGAAGTACACATTCAGGTAGAAGTACCCATTCGCCAGCTTGTCTTCTGGGGTGGCCCATTGGTTGTACTTCGTGCAGCGTTTAAACTGGTCCAGCCAGTCTTGAGCGTCTTCATAGGCTTCATCATGAAAACAATCGGGAATCATAGGATTCTGAAGTGTCATGCGCGATGGAGCTGCAGTGGCCATGGTGGCTGAAGGACGCAAGTGATTGCTAGCACTTTCTTGCAGGGGATTGAGCTCGGGTGCCAGGCCTAGTAGACAGCGACTGAAACGATAGACCGGTGGGTCGACACGGTGTAGCGATTCTGGGCTCAGTTGTCGGCTTCGTGAAGCATAAAAGCATAAAAACTACCCCGCACCTCCACCAGTGTGACGACGTAGGATCGACGAGGACTCAAAGAACCACAAACAAATACGTTTTATCAATTACAGAAAAGACTGGAACATCTTTTTCTCTGCGCTCAGCCAAGAACACTCGCGTTGCTTCGTTGTCACCGCCGCTGGCACATACACACGGCAATATTGATGCAAATGACAGCAATCTCCCATGCTTGTCCTTTTTTATTCTGATTTTTTTTCATGTTGCAAATGCAATTTGCAGTGGTTTGTTCACATCTGTCAGCATTAATGGCCTGCAAGTGTAGTAAAGCGATAGATGTGTTACCGACAAAATGAAAACGAGTGACCTACAGTTATGCCACCGCACATTCTGTAGTACAGTCTTCTGCCTTTCTGTTTAATGTTGGCATTGGCCACAGCTAGTTAGTGACTTGATGACCACTTCCACGTGTTCTTGGCATTGATGGGCAGGCATGATAGTGTATAGGAGGCTATGGAAGGACCTACTTTTGTACAAAAGTGCACAATCATTTTTGAACTAAGTCAGACTTTATTTTTTCTACCTCCAGGAGCTTTTGGAGTACATGGCCATCAATCCACAACAGGATGCCATCAAGTTTGCAATTGTCACACACGTGAGAATGTTTTTTCTTGATATATTATATGTGTGTGCATATTGTAATCTTTGGCTGTTGGCCATTTCTTATGTGTGACACTTGCAAAAGGTGTGTCTCACTGTGCATTGAGCTCTTTTGTTTTTTATTGCTTCTAGAATTGGTGTTTTAGATGAAGTGCTCATCTACTAAAAATTGCAATTGTTCCACAATTCCTGATCCTTGTGTTCGTGGCATGCTGTGGCATTCATGGAACATATACTGCTTTCATATGTAGTGCTTCTACTTCACACTGCATCCAACACTTGTTTCATGTGCTAATACACTTTTCTTATTGAGCCTGCAATGTTTAAGCAGTATACTACTGGTGAACCATGTGTATTATTAGCTTTCTTTTCCATAAATAGCAGGGGTCTCAACACACAGCACGCTGCTTCACATGGAATAAAGATTTGTGAGTTTGCTAAATAGCGTTTCATTATTTTCTTGCCCATTAATATCACTTTGTCCATGTGAACTACAGAGAAGCGACTGGTCTCAAATATTACTTTTTGTGAGGCACCCCATGCGGTCAGTATGAGTTGAAATATTTCCCTGGAATGAAAGCTGCTCATTTTAAAATTGGTGTTAAGGTATTTGTCATTGTGAAAAACAGTATCGATATGTTTCTGGTAACCTGATGTCAAATTCTTTTCAGAAATTACCCATGTATGCGATAAGGGACAGATGTTCTTTCAAATAGAAATGTTAGGCGACATTTGGATCACTCTGGCCCCGCCGCGGTGGTCTAGTGGCTAAGGTACTCGGCTACTGACCCGCAGGGCGCGGGTTCGAATCCCGGCTGCGGCGGCTGCATTTCCGATGGAGGCGGAAATGTTGTAGGCCCGTGTGCTCAGATTTGGGTGCACGTTAAAGACCCCCAGGTTGTCTAAATTTCCGGAGCCCTCCACTACGGCGTCTCTCATAATCATATAGTGGTTTTGGGACGTTAAACCCCACATATCAATCAATTGGATCACTCTGTCCTGCCCGAAGTATCAGTATCCCTTTAAAAAAGTCTTCTTATATCTTATTTATTTATCGACCAAGTCAGAGACAATTACATTGAAACAGTAATCAACGTAAGGTGCAAGTATGCAATTTATAATTCTGAGGATCAACCAGACACTAGTGCATAAAAACCACCTTGATAAAAATGAAAGTACTTGCACCCAAGTCTCAGTAATCTGTTGTTGCATACTTCAACAAAAATTATCGTTCTTTTAAGTTAATATGCATGGGTATCATTATTATTTTTTTACTTATGCTTGGGCCTCTGTGAAGAAAGGTCTATACTACAGCTAAATAGTACAGCCTGCACACCAGAATACAGAGCATTTGAAACAGTGCGTGAATTTCAACAGGTCGGTCGTGTGTGTATATATATTGCTTACAGTAGTCAATTAATTTTTCTTTAAATTGTAATGCCCAATTTCATCATCAGTTATACTTCTCTTGTAAGGTTGTATTTCAGTGAATAAAGAATACTCATGATCATTCGCGCTCTGACAATTGATACACGGTAAAATCAACAGATTCGAAATTTTTTTGGTTGGTCAGCTGCTTAATTCAAACTGTTCCATTACTTTTATTCGGTTAATTTACCGTATTTACTCGATTCTACCGCGCCCTCGATTGTAACGCGCACCCGATTTCTACCGCAAAAAAAAAAAAAAAAACTTAAGACATCGATTGCAACGCGCACCCATTTTTCTCGCTGGCCCGCACGATCACACCACTCGAAAAAACGACTTGTTTCGTGAGCGTCTTCCATTTAAATATGAGGTACGGGCGAAGCTTGTGCTCATCTGACGTGTAACAGAGCATTGCCGTCACTGTAGTTTTACCGTGGACCAATGTCAACACATGAACTTGCTTCGCCCTCTTCTTCTCGACGGTTGTGGTGCCAGGCATGTCAAAGTAAAGAGGTGTCTGATCGGCATTCCCGATTTGCCCAAGCACGTAGCCGTTGTTGCGCCGCAAGTTTAGGACGAACCTCTGAAAACTGTGAAGCTTTTCATCGTATTCCTCTGCAAAACTTTTCGCATATGCATGTTCCCCTTCGGAGGGAAAAGCCTTTCCTCTTCATAAAGTTAGTTAGCCAGCACCTGCTCGCTTTAAACTGGCTCCGCATTAGACCTCCGTCACGGGCCGCTGTGCTGCTCGCTGCTCAAGCACATACTCGCCAAGCAGCTCTTTAATTTGCGGAAACCGACCCTGCTGTGGTCCACTGAAGCCTTTGCGTGAAGCTTTGTTGTCGACAATCTTTTGCTTTTGTTTCCGCCGGTCCCGCATGCACGTTTCGGGAACTCCGAACGACCGCGATGCGGCCCGATTTCCGTCCGTTTCTGCACACGCGATGACTTTTCTTTTAAAAGCGGCATTGTGGTGCACTCAAGTTTTTGGAGTCGGCCCTTCCACGCCGTTGATGCTAATGCACTACTAGATGACGAACTCCTCAGCACACGCACGAAGTGCCGCACATGGGAAACACATAGGCAGAAATGGCCGACGCGTCATGCCGACGCACGTAGGGGGCGGCCATTTTGGATTTGCCGATGGCAATAGATTGACCGTAATTTTTTTGTTCGTACTCGATTCTAACGCGCATGCTATTTATGAACTCGCTTAACCGGAAAAAAGGTGCGCGTTAGATTCGAGTAATTACGGTATACTTTTTACTGGTTTGTGTCGGAAAATGTCTGCTGCCTTTGTTGCTTCTAGCTGAACATGTACATTCTTATATCACTAACAGTTGCAAATAAGGCCGATTGCCTGCCTATGTGTGTCAAAGCAGCCAAGCTAGCCAGAGCACGCATACGGGCAATCAAGTGTTGATTGATTCAGGAAAGAAGTCGCATGTTTGCCTGAAGAGAAAAACAGTGATTGTGATAACGAATTTAAATATTACAGTAAGTGCTAGGCTAGCAGCTAACTCCATTAGCCTAGGAACTGAACTCCACAGAATGCAAACATGAGGTGGAAGTTACCACTGTTGTTGGTTCATGTGTTAGTGTTAGGATGGCCGGTGCACCACCCCCTCTCTGAACATAATCAGTTGTAATCTTATGTGCCATGAAAGAGATACCTGATGTAATCAAAAATATAGTATAATTTGCTGTCATTGTTAAAAAAATGTTTATTGAATTTACCTTCAACCGTAAATGTTGCTTTGCATTTACCTATATTTTGACCTTGTTGCTCTCTGCATCTATCGCTGCACTTTTGTTTACTTTTTATTTAGCAAGTTTCAAAAATATTTACTTGGTTGTCTAGTTGAACATGGTAATGCAGTTGGTGTAAGCCTTAGTTGATACACAACATAAAGTGCCCAGTGTGGTCCCTAAGTGACTGATTCAAATGGTAAAAGAGTTTTCCTTACTTTCCCTTTTTAAAAACTTAAGTGAATATTGGACATTAAAAAAAAGCACTGATTTGTCTATGGGTTTTTCACTAGGTTGGTCATGGACCGGAGCCAGTGGATGAGGCACACCTCCTGGACATTCATGGTTATCCAAAGTGAGCGTAACACAGTGGCTCATGCAGGAGACCTATCATCAAAAACAAGTCTTACTTTTGTGTTCATATTATTTTTTAAAAGAATGAGCCTCTTTGAGGACATCACTTGACATTACTTAACAACCTAATATAATGATCAAGGTTAGTTTTATACTTATGTGATGCAATGCTAAAGCTTGCAATGCTAAAGCTTGCAAAACTTATCAGGCTACTGACATGTACACTGTCCACTTAATTTTGGAGTATTGAGTGAGTGTGCACACCCTTAGTGGATCTTGGCAGCATGACAAAGCCACTGGCTTGTGTGTGTGTGTAATTAATGAAGCAGGTCACTGAAATCTCTAACAACAAAATTTTATGTTTGAGGATCTGGCAACTTTGAGTGAACACTTAGGAGAATTATGCTTTCACAATATATCACAGGATTAATCATTTTCATCATTTTCTTTGAGTGGAAACGTTTCTGGCATGCTCTCTCAGCACTATTGGCACAGTGCCTGACTGATATAGTAGCCGAGTGAGTCCGATGATAGACGCAACAAGTTCTGCAAATGTGAAACTATCTCCAGAAGTGATTGTCCAAGATTATTATCCCAGATAACTTGTTCACGAACTAACCAACATCAGGTCACTGGCAGCCTGTTGTACTGATAATGCTTTTACCTGACTGGACAGTGTTTTGTCAAGCTCTTAAAACATGTCGATGTGTCTAAAAAGACCATGTTCATTCATTGTTATGCAAGCACTGGAGCACTGTGAAGTTTTCTGTGTTGTCTGCTACATTTATATTCCCTTCATATATGCTGTAAAATTTGGCTGAAAAACTTGTGCTTAAAATAAAAATAACAAAGGTGCAATGCCAGCAGTTTATCTGACAAGTCGTTATTTGTTGACTTATTTTACATACCTTACAAACTCTTCTTAGAGCAGAGTAAGGGAGACATATACAGGAAAGAAAAAGAACAATGAGAACGTATACACTTGAACTATACTGACAACGGCACTGATAGCTAAGACATTGCTTGCCCCACTACGGTGGTCTAGTGGCTAAGGTACTCGACTGCTGACCCGCAGGTTGCGGCGTCGAATCCCGGCTGCGGCGGCTGCATTTCCGATGGAGGCCGAAATTTTGTAAGCCTGTGTGCTCAGATTTGGGTGCACGTGAAAGAACCCCAGGTGGTCGAAATTTCCGGAGCCTTCCACTACAGCGTTTCTCATAATCATGTGGTGGTTTTGGGACGTTAAACCCCACATATCAATCAAAAGCTAAGACATTGATTACAAAGAAAATGTCAAACAAATGTATATCAATGTAAATGCCTACAAAGTGATGCTAGGTGTAGCGAGAGTTTAGTTGCTATCGGAACACCTTGCTGTTAGGCACTGAAACTATGGCATCGGGAAAATCACTCCACAGTGGAATAGTCTGTGGCAAAGTGGATAGGTTAAATGCGCATGTTCTATCAAAAAGATGCATAAAGCTGCGCTGATTTTGCGTACATGCTGACCTGCAATCCACTGTGTGCAGAGGGAAATGAGATGCCTTCATACGATGGATATACTTGTGAAATTATGCAAGGAGGGCTATTTTAGGGTGAATTTCTAATGACTAACTCGATATCGTGTTTTATTTGAGAAATACTGCAATGACGTTGGGAGTTCTGAGTGATGAAGCGGGCTGCTCTGTTTTGACTGACTTCGATCATCTGTGTTGGAGTTCATGAGGGGACCAAATGGGAGCCATATTCTAACTGTGGACCTACAAATGTTAGTAAGCTAGTTTGTGGATGCTCAATGTGGAGTTATGAAAATTTGGGCCAAGTAATCTAATGTTTTGGATGCCTTAGAGCAAATGGAAGTTCCATAAAAGCTTAGTCAATAATAACCCCTAAATATTTGTTTGAGGTGGTTCGAGATACTTCGCTACTGTTAATTTTGAATGAAAAGGTTGAAATCGAGTATTTTCGAGAAACTGACATTATTTTACATTTTGTAGTATTCAAATTCATTACCCATTTAGTACACCAACTGCTAACGAGGTATAGATCATTTTGAAGGGTAACATGATCAGTGGAAGATGTTATAGATTAATAAATGATGCAATCATCTGCAAAAAGGTGTATGCAGGATGAAATGTTTGTTGGCAGATCATTAATGAAGATTAGGAAGAGTTAGAGGGCCAAGGATGCTACCTTAGGGTACTCCTGAACTGACTTCTGATGAAAACCATTCGCAAATGTGAGCTGTTCAAGAAATGAAAGAAAATTTCGGAGCCATGATAGCATTAAAGAGTAATTTAAGGGCAGACAGTTTGAAAGTCAGGCGACAATGGACGACACGATCAAAGGCCTTCGAAAAATCTAGGAAAACGCAATCTGTCTGTGTGTTCATGTCCAAATTACTGTGTAGGTCTGTCGTGAATTCTAAAAGCTGTGCATTGCAAGAAAAACTTTTTTTGAAGCCATGTTGTGTGGAACTTAAAAAATTGTTTGATTCAAGATGATTGTAAATGTGGGAAGCAATGATATGTTCAAGTAATTTACAGGTGATTGAGAATAATGAGATGGGACAATAATTTTCAAGTTGATCTTTACATCCTGCTTTAAATACGGGAGTAACATTTGCGATTTTCCAGTCCATGGGAAGCTGACCAGCCAACAAGGACTGTCTGAAGATGTGAAATAATATTTTGGAGGACATGGAAATTGTATTTTCTAGTATCTTTTAATTGATATTATCAAGACCACTAGAGACAGAAACTTTAAGGTTGAGTAGTTTGGTGATGCCCTCAATGTTAATATCTACAGGTGGAATGAAGGGGTAATCAAGTTCTGGTAAATCACAATTGCTAGAATGATCTTCCCGTGTGAAGACAGAATAAAAAAAACTTATTAAATGTACTTGCACACTGAGCTCTTGGGAGAGGTAACTGATTTTCATCCTTCAAAGTAATATCTGTAACAGCAGAAAATGGTGATAATTGTTGCCAAAACTTTCTGGGATTGCATTTTAATAACGAAGGCAGGTAATGTTTTTTGCAATGATTAATGCAGAAGTGTAACTTTTAAGAGGCACTGGAAGCATGTGCCGTGGTCTGATACAGCCGGTTTTTTCCGATTCCTCAAGGTTCGCAAATGTTTGTTAAACCATGGGTTTCTCTTATCATTAGATATGGAAACTTCAGGCACATATTTGTCTATTAACAAAAGTGTAATCTTATCTCTAAACAATGAACAGTTTTTATCTATAGTACGACTTAACAATGAGGGCAAGAATGTGCAGTTTTAGAATTCTTCCGAGTCTCAATTCATACACTATATTTGGCCTTACTGTAGTCTTTAACCACTTTTCTAGTTTTACGCAAAATTTTGAGAGGAGTGTTTATCGTTAATTGAACCAGCTTACGGTCACCAAACCCTTCAATGCATGAGATTTCACCTATATTGGGATCTGTAGTAAACAATAAATCTAAAGTATTATTGCACCATAATAGTTCATTATTTACTTGAGTAAAATGAAAATCTAGGGGGAAATTCACAAGGTCAGAAGAGATTTGGGATTTGAAAGGGTAATTGTTCCAGTCAATTTGTGGCAAGTTGAATCCCCAAAGAGGTATACAGTATTAGTTTCACATCTCTCAGTAGCTAAAGTGGTGCTGCTACATAGATGATCTATAAATGACTGTTCTGTAACATGCGTTTACCAACATTTTAGGGGCGAAGCTTCTTAGGGCGGGATTTGTGCGTCCCACGTTGTCATTGTGCGTAACCTGTGGCACATACCCGCATACCAGTGACACATACCTGCCCTCGGGCACATATCCGCATGTCCACATGTTATGGAAAACGTTGCACGGTGTCCTTATTACGCTCTCGGTGTTAACAAAGTGCTGACAGCAGAAATCTGGTACATACTCTCGTTTAGTCCTTACATTGTCCGCTGGTTGGCAGTGCTTGTATGTGATGAATATATGATGAAAAAAAGCGAGATGATGGTACTTGAAGTGTTCACTATATGGATGGATGGACACGCAGACGGACAGACAAGCAGACGAACAGAGAGACATGTGGACATACGCACAGGCAGATGCACGAACGGGCACACGTACGCATGGACTGACGCACGAATGGACGCACGGACGCATTGACGAACGCTTCGCCCCACTGATCATCATTCATTTCGTGGATATGCTGTGATTTTTATGATAGAATTAGTGCACGCCACTTAGACAATTTCTAACTTAAAATTTGTATCGGTGACAAAAGCGGGTATCAATCTTTTTTATAGCAATAATAACACCTCCTCCACGTTTGCTTTAACGATCACAACTAAAACATTATAATTTGTGTTCTCTTGGAGAATTTCGCTGTCACCAACATTCTGAGTCAGCCACGTTTCAGTCAGCAGAAGGACATCAGAAAGACTATCTTCCAGAAACGACAAACAAGATCACGCTTGCCAGTAAGCTGTAAATATTGGTAAATGAAGCAGACACCCTTGTACAGATTTACTTTGAATTTTTCGAGAAACACTTGCACGTTTGTGCTTCTGCTATCTAGCGGGCAGCTTTACTGCGTTAGTAGCACTATCATCGATGCAAGTTTTATTGCTCATGCGTAGACGATCGACAACTAGCTTGTAGGGCTTGTTTTCATTTTTGGCAAACTCGGTAAGCTTTCTTTTGCTGTGGTATAGGTTAGGAAAACTTGTGGAGCTCACTCAGACTCACTCATGAAATATATTTTGAGCTTTGGACTCTCAGCTCGATCTGAGTCTGAGCGAGTAGCCAACTCATGAGTGAGTTCGCCAACCTATGACTGTGGTTAATATGCCACTACTTAGGCCAGTAGAGATTCAATAATGTGAAGGCATACCAGACCAACAATGTGGTTCTACTAATAATGGCAGAATCTAAAGGCAGGGTATCCAAGTGAAAAAATGGTTCAGTTGCGGTTCAAATCCATGTTGAAGTCTGTCATGATACATATTTGTTGGCAGAACATAGGAAGTATAATAGAATAACATCATCAAGTTTGTATTATTTTATTTCTAGGGTGCAATCGTAGCAGTCTGGATTGTGCGTTCGATTTCACCTTGTGCAATTAGCCTAGGCTGCACTCTTGTCAGCCGCAGGTCATAGGTAACAGCTACAAGTTTCGTCATGTCGAAATGATGACACACTTAGGCCAATAAGTTTGAAACCGATCATGTCTGCTAGGAGCAGAATATGATGAAATGCCTTCTGTTTGTTATGACATGCCCACTATATGATCGGAATCACATGTGCTGTGCGTAACATCATCTAATGACCGTGTAAAGAAACTTGTGTAATAAATTGTAATAGTTACACATATGTGAGAATGTGCTTGTAAAGAAAAAGAATTTTTTTGCATAAATATTTCGCTAATCGGAAGGCAAGAAGCATTTCATCTTTTTTTTTTGGTGTTTTGCCCCAAAACAGGCAACATATGATGCACATCAACTTCAAGAGAGTTTACTGTGTGCTGATCATCTGCTTTTTCTATCTTGTTCAAAATTTGTGGACCACCTACTTTGTGGCATTGCAGCAATTGAACACTTTTCGTCTGAACAAAGATCTCTGGTCACAACCATGTGCACCACAATAAGAAAATATTTCTGGGTTAAAGATTACAATATTCATCTGTTTTATTCCTGGTGAAGTTACCAGAATTCGGAGGAAAGGATGAATGAATTCTGAATTATTTGTGCCAAAACCAAGTAAACAGCTTTAATGACACACCAATGACACACCAACACGAGACATGACACACCAACACGAGAAGGCACGTGACACTACATGCAGCGATGTGATAGCTGCACCAAATATCGCCAAGAAGCAAAACCTGCTACGTCC